GGGTCTTTAAGAGGAGGCTTGATGCCTACCTGGCTGGGATCATTTGAGCCCAGTTTTTTTTTTTCTCCTGCCCTGGCAGGGGGTCAGACTTGAAGATCTATAAGGTCCCTTCTGACCCTACTTCTATGATTCTATGATTCTCATTCTGGCTAGACTTGGGAAGGAAGTGTCGTTTAGCTTCTCTGCCTCAGAGACAATCAATAAGGACAGCTCAGAGCAAATGCAATAAGGACAGCTTCAGAGTAGAAAATACAATGGGGGATTCTAGATACTTTTGGAGAGGGTCTAAGAAAACCCATTGGAAAAATATACCATATGTATCCATACCCAAGACAATCCTGAATTTAAGATGACTAGAAAATAATTAGATTCTATACAAAGAAAATTTATAAATTTGTTATGAGATAAGGGGAATTGTGGGTGGGGGGGAGAAACAAGAGGTGCAGAGGTGGCAGGGGGCAGGCAGCAGCAGCCTGCCTGTCCACCATCTTGTACTCAATTCCAAGATAAGGGTCTTTCCCCTCTAAGGTTAAATGGGAGAAAAAAACCCATGTTAGAATTAAGTAAATACAGTATTAACTACTAACATGTTTACACAATGGCTTCTCCAAATGAATAATAACTACTCTGATTCAAAAATTGAAAACTTGAAGTCTTTATTCTGGTAAACACATAATGTGAAGAGTATATAACATCCATGAAATAATTGCAGTCTTGTCTCATCAGATAGGAAGTATGTACAAACCTGATACAAAACTGTGTGACAAGTCGAGAGTAGAGCACTCAATTAATTGTGGCCTATAATCATAGTCTACAGCAGTGTTTCTTAACCCGTGGGTTGTGACCCAAAAGTGGGTTCCAAGAATATATGAAAGGGTCATGAACAAACTTTAAATATGGATCAACAAACTTTAAAAATGGGTTCTCCTTTAAAGGACAAAAATGTGGGAAACCATGGCGTTTCCCTTGCAGGCTGGCAGAGCTCCAGCCTGCAAGAGATATGTTTGTGGGCCCCCATGCCCCAGACACCTCCCCCCTTCTCCATACACTCACCCCCTGCCCCACACACTGGGGAGCTGGGGCTTAGGGGCAGGAGGTTGGGACTGAGAGGCACTGGCAGGGCCAGGGGGTTGTTTTCTACTTAAACTATTTACTGGATCAGGACTGGCCATTAATGTTTACAATAAAGGTTGAGAACCACAGGTCTAGAGACCCAGCTGGCTTCTGTAGCCCAGTCAAAACAAAACTGCAAACAAAAATCTCCCCACAAAACTAAAAATGTCCAAAAAGGGCCTTTTTAGATTGGCTTCTTTCTAAATAGCTTTTGTGAAAAGTAGAGGCTTTTTGTAGACAGTTCCTGAGTCTCATCAAGAAGCCAGTTTTTCTAATGACTTGCTCTTAATTAGAACTATCTGAAGGATGATCATTCCCTTTCATGTTGAGGTTTAGAAATTAGTTTAGCATTGAAACAAAAACAAAGCCTTTAACATGATTTTGCTAAACAGGATCTTGTCACAGTCTTTTCCCAAAGCAGTATATATTAGATATTATATGTGTGGGAGGGGGGTGGGGATAAGTGTCTGCCAGAAATGATTAAAGATCCCTTGACCTCAGAAATCTTCTCTGTCCAAAACTTAATTGAAATTATTACATCTCTGAAATGTTTTCAGCTTATGAAACACCATATATGGGCAAAAATAGTTTTAATTGAAAATGATATGACGGTTCTACTCCTAATGTCAGTCTGCAAAAAATCCTCTAAATTTAAGTCTCTTGCAGTGCGTTGGAAGAATCATTTGATTCATCATTGTTGGTCCAATTTACCTGACAGCTCCTGCATTTAGGCATATATCTGTGCTATTTAATTTGCTCTCTTTGCAAATAGTTGAGTGGGGTTTATAAAAGGAACTAAATGCTAAAACACCCAGAGTGGTATGTTTACTGATCTAAATTATACGACACTGGAAGAAAGTGAGATTTCCCTACAGTGGAAAGCACAAAAGCATGTTTATTCTTAAATCACTGTATTGTTCTCCATTATGAATCTTCAGCATAAGACCTAGGAGGCTTTATGCAATTCATTGTTTTCAGAGCCTTGAAATAAAGAGCTGCTAAAGCATTGGAGCAGTTGCATTGTGACTGGTTGCCTCTGGCTAGGAATGATCTTTTCACTTGACTAAAAATATAATGAAATATAACTCTTTAATACATGTTTTTGTTCCCTTTAGATTCAAAGTCGAAGGAAAAAGATTCTTGATGTATATGCTAATGTATGTGATGTTGCAGAAGGTGAGTATGAACAAGAAGTAATCAGAAAATTTACACAGAATTAAATCACAGTTGTTTGCTGGGAATAGACCCCCCTTTTACCTTCATATGAAAAGGCATGCTTCAAAGAGAAAATTCCAATCTGAAGAACATACTTTGTATAAGTTACTTGTTTTAAGCAGGTTAGATAAACTAGTTAAAATACATTTTGATAACAAGTTGGAAAATAAGATTTGGGTTGGGGGGGTGAAGAGGAGGGGAGAGGAGGTTGTAGATTATGTCAGACAAGTGTTTTGCCTTTCTGTGCCCGTAGGTGCCTTCCTTCTACCTCACTGTCACCACATCCTGAAACCACCACATCCATGTCAACCAGTGTTTATAGAGTGAAACCTATTTAACACCTGACGGCCTGTATGGTCTAGACCAGAGCCAGACAACCTATTCTGGCTGCGGGCCAGATAATCCACCCTGGGTCAGAGGTGGGCACACAAGTGCTAGGATCTGGCCTCCACCAGTATGTCTCCACAGTGGCACAGGGAAAGTGCCTGCAGCTACAGCTGGCCTGTGGGGTGGATCCAGTGGTTCCCAGGGTCAAGCCAGCCTGCAGGTAGTAATCTGATCCCAGGTCTAGGCAGATAAATTTCTCCATATAACAAAGGGCAAAACCATATTTATTTTCCACTTTACAAAAGTCTTTGTGCGTGTGTTATCTGGAAAAAGGTAGGTCTCAGCTCATCTCAGCTCATTGCTACTGGTCATGAAACAGGAAAAAACTCCATATATATAAAAAAAGTAAACACAAAAGTCAGAGGATAGTTCTGGGAAGCGTATATTCCCATATTGTATCTTGCAATATGGGAAATGGTCCAGCAAAAAGCAAACTTTGGCCCTAGGGTCAGTGCTTAAACCCAGCCTTTGAAAATTAACATTAAGGATGACAAAGACCGCCTATGAAGGGACTGTGCCTGGAAAGTTTCCACATGGAGACAAGAGGCATCATTGCAGCATCTGCATTCCTCTTATTTCTGCAAGAATGGTTTATCATTACAAAAATATGTAGGGCCAGATCCTATTCCACCTATTAAGTATCTAATGGATTTAGGGTAGAATAGGATTGCATTTATGTGTCTGCTTAAATCCCTGAAAAAATATTAAGATGCCTACATTTATAACACACCTTATCATCTTAGCCTTGAGATGAAGTCACAAAAAGCAGAGAATAGGAAGAGTACCCAATCAACCTTGTGTGTTAGCTTTTCAGGGACTCAAGAAGGCTGGAACAGGATCTCACTTGGGCACCTAAACAGGCTTAGTCAGAAAGCAAGGCAACATGGCACTTTGTAGACTAACTCTAAATGGTTTGGATCAGCAGTGCTCATGGTTTTTGCCCTACAGGCATGAGACTGGTCTGTGGGCTAGATTGGGCCATTCACCACCCCCGCATGCTGGCCCCAGGCTTTAGGGTCCCTGTGGCACCCTTGCCCAAACCTCGCATGCTGGGATTGGGCCCTGTGTCACCCTGCATGCCTCATTTAGAGTGCAGGGACAGGGCCTGCAGGGCTCCTCACAGATAACCCAGCACTAGGGGCTGGATTGCTGCTTGTGGGCTCACAAGGCAGGAGCCAAGCACCCTTGGTTAGGCTAATTTAACATTAGTCTATAAGGTGCCACCCTGTTATGCTTTCTGCATAACTTCAGATGAATGTGCTTAGCTATGGTTTAGAGATGCTGCTTGCAACAAAGTCAGGGAAACATCAGATTAGGTAACCTAGTTTACCCCAGACCCATCTGAGGGGATGACTATCAGTGCATTTTTCTCTGTGCCATTAAGCAACAACTGAATTTGACACTGCTGGAACTCTGGCTGCTGTTGACTAGCCCGCAATGAAAAAAAAATGCCTTTGCTAAACTCACACATCTGTATCTGTGGAATTGCTCATTGGGATATTTCTGCAATATATTCCCCAGCTACTTGGGGTAGCTGAGAGAGGGATACAGTAATAAGTAAATATTGAATAATTTCCCATACAAATTCCCACATGCATTCTTCCCTTATTGTCTCCAGGTTTCTTTCTTTCCTTACAAGACTCTACTAGTCCCATACTGTCATTTGGGGCAATTCATTTAGGCAGTATACATCATAGTCACCAGGGTACCAGGCAGTTGGGTTAATTCACACATGAGAATTTTAGATGTAGTTACTGTGGTATCCTGTTTTAAGTATATGCTATTGAATATTACAATAATCCTTATTGTTCTGTAAGAAACATCTGTAGTCATCAAAATCTGTGTACTGAAGCTCCTGACTAAGAATCTCCTCTTTGATAGGTCTCAGTCCCACAGAGCTGCCTTTTGACTGCCTGGAGAAGACCAGCAGGATGCTCAGCTCAACCTACAACACTGAAAAAGCCATTGTGAAAACATGGCGCCACCTTGCTGAGAGCTTTGGATTAAAGAGAGATGAAATAGGTGGTATGACAGATGGCATGCAGCTCTTTGACCGAATCAGTACAGCTGGCTATAGTATCCCCGAACTTCTAACCAAACTGGTACAAATTGAGCGATTGGATGCTGTTGAATCTTTGTGCGCAGATATTTTGGAATGGGCACAAACATCGCCTACACCTGCGCTACCAGCTGCTTCCTGATGGTCGTGCTTGTGATCCTGCTGGGAGTGGGTGGCCTGGTGGGGCTCTCAGTGGCGCAGGAGCCCCCAGGAAGTGCCAGGCCAGTTACCACCCCGGTGAAAGGCCGGTCAGGGTGCCTTAATAACCCTAGCTCCCACAAGCTCCCTTCACTTCCAAAGGATCTGCAGGCACACCAAGTCCAAGACCAGTGTGTCCAGGATGTTGGAGAGGGATTGAAAAGAATTGGTGCTTTCCTCACAGTTACATATTCTGTCATTCTAAAGGGTGAACTGAGAACACAGTTGAAACTGAATTTGACACACAAACAAAAGAGCAAAAATCTTCAGAGAAATACAAGATTAAATGTTTCATTAGACATAATGGCTTTTGTTAAACTGTTGCTGATAGTAAATGAACACTAATGCCAATTTTCCATTCTGTTTACAAGAATGGATGCAGATTAGTCTGTTGATATCCTGTTTTTGATGAAAGTTTTAACTATTTAAAGATATTTCTATCATGTCAGGCCTTGTTCAATAATTTAATAGCTACAGTCAGATACAGTACCATGGAATACAGATAACGCCCGTATATTTCTACAGTTTCTAACACATGTAATAGGTAACCTATTTCATTCCTTATTTACCCTATGGATTTGCTGAATAAAGACGTGTGTGCATTAATTATATTCACAGATTCCCTAGTTTAACTAATAATTCCAGATAGAAAAAGATGATCAAGGTCATCAACAGATCTCAAATGACTATCTATATTTCAATGCATTCTTGGTCTACACAAACATTTCAGAAACTTATTAATGCATATTGCTAACTGACTGAAGACACAGTAGTTAGAAAGTTGACTACTTTTAACTTAAAAGGAACATATTTTGGTATCTTCTGTATTTACAAAAAAACCTCTCTAAGCAATAAAAATGATTGCATAAGACATTAAAAACAAAAAAAAGCAGAATTAGTAAAAGAGCCACTTAAAGAGTACAAAGACAACTGCTTTTAAAAACTATTATATATGCCTACAGAAGTATGAAGCATGAGCAGTTGCTGAAGAGAAAATAGTTCCTCATGAGTCAATTCCCTTTATAGGGGCGTTAGACTGAGGTTGTTCACAGCAACAATATATCTTATTTCCTTCTAAATGTTAACAAATCTATTTTTTGTGGCAGGATGGGG